GAAACTCCATACTGATGGACTTTTGGAACCACTTGATTATGAATCACTTGGTACTTGCGAACCGTGCCTCATGGGCAAGATGACTAAAACACCGTTCTTCAGTACTATGGAGAGAGCAACAGATTTGTTGGAAATCATACATACCGATGTATGTGGTCCGATGAATATTGAGGCTCATGGCGGATATCGTTATTTTCTCACCTTCACAGATGATTTAAGCAGATATGGGTATATCTACTTAATGAAACATAAATCTGAAACATTTGACAAGTTCAAAGAATTTCAGAGTGAAGTTGAAAATCATCGTAACAAGAAAATAAAGTTTCTACGATCTGATCGTGGAGGAGAATATTTGAGTTACGAGTTTGGTGTACATTTGAAAAACTGTGGAATAGTTTCGCAACTCACGCCACCCGGAACACCACAGCGTAATGGTGTGTCCGAACGTCGTAATTGTACTTTACTAGATATGGTGCGATCTATGATGTCTCTTACTGATTTACCGCTATCATTTTGGGGTTATGCTTTAGAGACGGCCGCATTCACGTTAAATAGGGCACCATCAAAATCCGTTGAGACGACGCCTTATGAACTGTGGTTTGGCAAGAAACCAAAGTTGTCGTTTCTTAAAGTTTGGGGCTGTGATGCTTATGTGAAAAAGCTTCAACCTGATAAGCTCAAACCCAAATCGGAAAAATGTGTCTTCATAGGATACCCAAAGGAGACTGTTGGGTACGCCTTCTATCACAGATCCGAAGGCAAGACATTCGTTGCTAAGAATGGATCCTTTCTAGAGAAGGAGTTTCTCTCGAAAGAAGTGAGTGGGAGGAAAGTAGAACTTGATGAGGTAACTGTACCTGCTCCCTTATTGGAAAGTAGTACATCACAGAAAACTGTTTCAGTGACACCTACACCAGTTAGTGAGGAAGCCAATGATAATGATCATGAAACTTCAGATCAAGATACTACTGAACCTCGTAGATCAACCAGAGTAAGATCCGCACCAGAGTGGTACGGTAATCCTGTTCTGCAAGTCATGCTACTAGATCATGATGAACCTACGAACTATGAAGAAGCGATGGTGAGCCCAGATTCCGCAAAGTGGCTTGAAGCCATGAAATCTGAGATGGGATCCATGTATGAGAACAAAGTATGGACTTTGGTTGACTTGCCCGATGATCGGCAAGCAATTGAAAATAAATGGATCTTTAAGAAGAAGACTGACGCTGATGGTAATGTTACTGTCTACAAAGCTCGACTTGTCGCAAAAGGTTTTCGGCAAGTTCAAGGGATTGACTACGATGAGACCTTCTCACCCGTAGCGATGCTTAAGTCCGTCCGAATCATGTTAGCGATTGCCGCATTTTATGATTATGAAATTTGGCAGGTGGATGTCAAAACTGCATTCCTGAATGGATTTCTGGAAGAAGAGTTGTATATGATGCAACCGGAAGGTTTTGTCGATCCAAAGGGAGGTAACAAAGTGTGCAAGCTCCAGCGATCCATTTATGGACTGGTGCAAGCCTCTCGGAGTTGGAATAAATGTTTTGATAGTGTGATCAAAGCATTTGGTTTTATACAGACTTTCGGAGAAGCCTGTATTTACAAGAAAGTGAGTGGGAGCTCTGTAGCATTTCTGATATTATATGTGGATGACATATTGCTGATTGGAAATGATATAGAATTTCTGGATAGCATAAAGGGATACTTGAATAAAAGTTTTTCAATGAAAGACCTCGGTGAAGCTGCTTACATATTAGGCATTAAGATCTATAGAGATAGATCAAGACACTTAATTGAACTTTCACAAAGCACATACCTTGACAAAATTTTGAAGAAGTTCAAAATGGATCAAGCAAAGAAAGGGTTCTTGCCTGTGTTACAAGGTGTGAAGTTGAGTAAGACTCAATGCCCGACCACTGCAGAAGGTAGAGAGAATATGAAAGATGTTCCCTATGCATCAGCCATAGGATCTATCATGTATGCAATGCTGTGTACCAGACCTGATGTGTGCCTTGCTATAAGTTTAGCAGGGAGGTACCAAAGTAATCTAGGAGTGGATCACTGGACAGCGGTCAAGAACATCCTGAAATACCTGAAAAGGACTAAGGATATGTTTCTCGTATATGGAGGTGACAAAGAGCTCACCGTAAAAGGTTGCGTTGATGCAAGCTTTGACACTGATCCGGACGATTCTAAATCACAAACCAGATACGTGTTTACATTAAACGGTGGAGCTGTCAGTTGGTGCAGTTCTAAACAAAGCGTCGTAGCGGGATCTACATGTGAAGCGGAGTACATAGCTGCTTCGGAAGCAGCGAACGAAGGAGTCTGGATGAAGGAGTTCATATCCGATCTAGGTGTTATACCTAATGCATCGGGTCCAATGAAAATCTTTTGTGACAATACTGGTGCAATTGCCTTGGCAAAGGAATCCAGATTTCACAAAAGGACCAAACACATCAAGAGACACTTCAACTCCATCCGGGATCTAGTCCAGGTGGGAGACATAGAGATTTGCAAGATACATACGGATCTGAATGTTGCAGACCCGTTGACTAAGCCTCTTCCACGAGCAAAACATGATCAGCACCAAGGCTCCATGGGTGTTAGATTCATTACAGTGTAATCTAGATTATTGACTCTAGTGCAAGTGGGAGACTGAAGGAAATATGCCCTAGAGGCAATAATAAAGTTATTATTTATTTCCTTATAATCATGATAAATGTTTATTATTCATGCTAGAATTGTATTAACCGGAAACATAATACATGTGTGAATACATAGACAAACAAAGTGTCACTAGTATGCCTCTACTTGACTAGCTCGTTAATCAAAGATGGTTATGTTTCCTGACCATGAACAATGAGTTGTTATTTAATTAATGAGGTCACATCATTAGTTGAATGATCTGATTGACATGACCCATTCCATTAGCTTAGCACCCGATCGTTTAGTATGTTGCTATTGCTTTCTTCATGACTTATACATGTTCCTATGACTATGAGATTATGCAACTCCCGTTTACCGGAGGAACACTTTGGGTGCTACCAAACGTCACAACGTAACTGGGTGATTATAAAGGAGCATTACAGGTGTCTCCAAAGGTAGATGTTGGGTTGGCGTATTTCGAGATTAGGATTTGTCACTCCGATTGTCGGAGAGGTATCTCTGGGCCCTCTCGGTAATGCACATCACATAAGCCTTGCAAGCATTACAACTAATGAGTTAGTTGCGAGATGATGTATTACGGAACGAGTAAAGAGACTTGCCGGTAACGAGATTGAACTAGGTATTGGATACCGACGATCGAATCTCGGGCAAGTAACATACCGATGACAAAGGGAACAACGTATGTTGTTATGTGGTCTGACCGATAAAGATCTTCGTAGAATATGTAGGAGCCAATATGGGCATCCAGGTCCCGCTATTGGTTATTGACCGGAGACGTGTCTCGGTCATGTCTACATTGTTCTCGAACCCGTAGGGTCTGCACGCTTAAGGTTACGATGACAGTTATATTATGAGTTTATGCATTTTGATGTACCAAATGTTGTTCGGAGTCCCGGATGTGATCATGGACATGACGAGGAGTCTCGAAATGGTCGAGACATAAAGATTGATATATTGGAAGCCTATGTTTGGATATCGGAAGTGTTCCGGGTGAAATCGGGATTTTACCAGAATACCGGGAGGGTTACCGGAACCCCCCGGGAGCTATATGGGCCATAGTGGGCCTTAGTGGAAAAGAGAAGGGGCTGCCCTAGATGGGCTGCGCGCCTCCCCCTTCCCCTAGTCCTATTAGGACTAGGAGAGGTGGCCGGCCCCCTCCTCCTCTTTTCCCCCTCCGCGAATCCTATTCCGACTAGGATTGGGGGGAGAATCCTACTCCGAGAGGGAGTAGGACTCTCCTGCGCCCTCCTCCTTGGCCGGCCAACCTCCCCCCTCTACTCCTTTATATACGGAGGCAGGGGGCACCTCTAGACACACAAGTTGATCCACGTGATCTATTCCTTAGCCGTGTGCGGTGCCCCCTACCACCATATTCCTCGATAATACTGTAGCGGAGTTTAGGCGAAGCCCTGCTGCTGTAGTACATCAAGATCGTCACCACGCCGTCGTGCTGATGGAACTCTTCCCCGACACTTTGCTGGATCGGAGTCCAGGGATCGTCATCGAGCTGAACGTGTGCTCGAACTCGGAGGTGCCGTAGTTTCGGTGCTTGATCGGTTGGATCGTGAAGACGTACGACTACTTCCTCTACGCCGTGTCATCGCTTCCGCAGTCGGTCTGCATTGGGTACGTAGACAACACTCTCCCCCTCGTTGCTATGCATCACATGATCTTGCATGTGCGTAGGAAATTTTTTGAAATTACTACGAAAACCAACAAGAGACTCTTTGTTATTTGCTTGCAGGGTTGCTTGAGAGAGACCATCTTCATCCTATGCCTCCCACAGATTGATAAACCTTAGGTCATCCACTTGAGGGAAATTTGCTATTGTCCTACAAACCTCTGCACTTGGAGGCCCAACAACGTCTACAAGAAGAAGGTTGCATAGTAGACATCAGAAGTCCAGCAATCCGTAGTTACGCAACACTTCCACAATTCTCTTTGAAAAACTTTTTCAACTTCGCCTTCCCATCTAGATAGATCTTGACAGTGTCCCTGGTACAAGTTCTTCTTAATGGTGGACTAAAGCGGGGGCAAGCAACTGAAATGAACTTTCTGAATCCAGATTTCTCACCAAATGCAAAAGGCAGCTCATCTTCTATGACCATTACAACAAATGCCTTCCTAACTGCCTCTGCATCATATCTCCAAGTGTTGATGCCATTTCCCGGGGTTGCTTGCAAAGTGGTCTGATTTGGATCCATCTTCCTACTCGGATTGCGCTTGCATATACCGAAGTGCCTACGCATTGCTGTTGTCCCATTGCATGATGTAGTAGCTTGAATTGGTCGGTCATAATACTTGCACTTTCCTTCCTTCACTAACGCCTAATCATCAAAAACTTTGGTGAAATGCTCCCAGATTAGTGATCTTGACGCCATCTGCCTCCGTCCTTTTGGCTTGTCATCTTGAGCAGCTTCTAGATTGGCATCCTCGACAATTGTTGGTTCAACATCTTCATCTTCAATAATACTACGCAAAACGGATTCATCTCCTGCTTCCGCAGCTGCTGCTTCTTCATCCGCCTCTGCCTCTACACTCATAAGTGCATCTTCATTCTCATTTAGTTCCTCATCATGTTCAGAAAACATCTAAAAAAAGAGGACATTGGTCTGTCAAACAACATTGACCTGATCAAATCACAACATAAATATACACCATGCATATTTTTTTTTTCAGGAAACAAGCACAAATGCATTACTATGTATGCAGTACTAAAGTATTGAAGCTGCTAACATTTGACACAAAACAAGCACAAATACAGTGTTCTATTTGTTGTCCCCAAGTGCTAACATTTGACACAAAGCAAGGGCATGTATTGCCTACAAAATACATTCTGCAGGAGTGCTTATTTTCGTTGGAATCACAGGTTTACAGAGAGATGGCGTAGCTCACCTTCAGCTGCGAGTGTCCTGGAAGAGGACGGGTAGTGGTGAGTCGTGACGAACTGCGGTGGTTGAACTGGTCGTCGGGAGGTGGAGCACCGGCGGAGAACAGCTGTGAGGCGGTAGAGCGACCGACGGGAGGTTGAGGTTGGCGGCGGCGCGAGGCGACAGTGTTCACGGTCAGGGCCGCCACTCGCAGTGCCCGTCTTCACCTGCTAGGGCTGCCGCTTGGGCGCTGTTCCTCACCGGCCAGGGCCGCCGCTCAGGCGTCGGTCTTCGTTGTGGGGTGCGCGGCGCGCATCGAGGCAAGCAGCAGGCGGCGGCTAGGGTTAGCAGTGGGAGAACGAGAGATTTGTTGTCGGTGGCTTCCATGAATCGGGATGTGAGGTCGTGTACTAGACTTTGTAGTTGGGTGTTGTGCGTGACCATTGGGCTTGGCCGGACGGGCCTTAGGATGGGCTTTTATTAATCGGTCTATACGGGTTATTCGGTCCTAAACAAAGCATGGCCGATCAGACCGAAACTAGTTCGGTCTTCTATTTGCACAGACCGTTTTTTATACGGTCTTTTCTAATTTGGTCTTTTCGGGTTTGGTCTTGGTCTTTTGGGTTCGGTTTTTGTCTTCGGTTTTTATGCCCGGGGCAATTTCTGGTGACCCGATAAGTACCCGGTACCCCCCGAAACACTTTTGGTGTCTGAATACCATCATCCTATATATCAATCTTTACCTCTCGACCATCTCGAGACTCCTCGTCATGTTCGTGATCTCATCCGCGACTGCTAACAGCATTCGGTCACCAAATCACATAACTCATATAATACTATATTGTCATAGAACGTTAAGCGTGCGGACCCTACGAGTTCGAGAACTATGTAGACATGACCAAGACACCTCTCCGGTCAATAAACAATAGCAGAACCTGGATGCCCATATTGGCTCCTACATATTCTACGAAGATCTTTATCGGTCGAACCGTTATGACAACATACGTAATTCCTTCTGTCCATCGGTATGTTACTTGCCCGATATTCGATCATCGGTATCTTCATACCTAGTTCAATCTCGTTACTGGCAAGTCTCTTTACTCGTTCTGTAATACATCACCTCGTGACTAACTCCTTAGTCGTTTGCTTGCAAGCTTATGATGTGTATTATCGAGAGGGCCCAGAGATACTTCTCCGATACTCGGAGTAACAAATCCTAATCTCAATCTATGCCAACTCAACAAACACCTTTAGAGATACCTGTAGAGCATCTTTATAATCACCCAGTTACGTTGTGATGTTTGATAGCACACAAGGCATTCCTCCAGTATCCGGGAGTTGCATAATCTCATAGTCGAAGGAATATGTATTTGACATGAAGAAAGCAATAGCAATAAAACTGAAAAATCATTCTGCTAAGCTAATGGATGGGTCTTGTCCATCACATCATTCTCCCAATGATGTAATCCCATTATCAAATGACAATTCATGTCCATGGTTAGGAAACCTTAACCATCTTTGATCAATGAGCTAGTCTAGTAGAGGCTCACTAGGAACATGGTGTTTGTTTATGTATTCACACATATATTAAGGTTTCCGATCAACACAATTCTAGCATGAATAATAAATGTTTATCATGAATAAGGGAATATAAAATAACAAGTTTACTATTGCCTCTAGGGCATATTTTCTTCAAAAATGACTTATATACCAGAAGACGGGCACCGGAGGTGGGCCGAGGAGGGCACAACCCACCAGGGCACGCCTGGGCTCCCCAGCGCGCCCGGGTGGGCTGTGGGCCCCCTCTGGTAGTTGTTTGCTCCAATATTCTTCATATATTCCAAAACAATTCTCCGTAAATTTTCAACTCATTTGGAGATGTGCAGAATAGGTAACTTGACGTAGCTTTTTCAGGTCCAGAATTCCAGCTGCCGGCATTCTCCCTCTTTGTGCAAACCTTGCATATTATGAGAGAATAGACATTATAATTACTTCATAAAGCATTACTATGCATAAAAACATTATAAATAACAGTAGGAAAACATGATGCAAAATGGACGTATCATTGGTGGAGGGGGAGTAAAAACTTGACCATTCTGTTTGGGAACCTCCTATAATGTATCTAGCATGGAAGATAGTGATATCTCTTGGTTGTTATGTTGACAATGAAAGCATACCGCTCAAAATTATATTCATCTCTATTTTAGAAGCTCAAGCTCTGGCACCTCTACAAATCCCTGCTTCGCTCTGTGAAGGGCATATTTATTTACTTTTATTGTTGAGTCATCATCATCTTATAAAAAGCACTAGTTGGAGAGCAGCACTGTCATTTATATGCTTTGTTTTTAATTGATGTTGAGTATGAGTGTGACTGGATCTCTTTTGCCATGAATTATAATTTCTAGTCAGTCCTTGATCTTCAGGGGTGCTCTGCATTTATGTTTTGCGGTCTCAGAAAGGGCTAGCGAGATACCATTTTGTCATATCATATCATGATTGTTTTGAAAAAGTGTTGTCATCGAGATTTATTATTATTGCTCCCTAGTTGATTGTGCCATTGATATGAGTAAATGTGAGACCTAAATGGTATTGTGAATATGATTAGTTCGTAATCTTTGCTGAAAACTTGAATATTGACTAGACATATTTGCAACAACAAGATTAAACAGAGTTTGTAAAAGTTTTTCTTTGTCACTTTCAGTTTCTTGACTGAATTTCTTGAGGACAAGCAATGGGTTAAGCTTGGGGGAGTTGATACGTCTCCATTGTATCTACTTTTCCAAACTCTTTTGCCCTTGTTGGACTCTAATTTGCATGATTTGAATGGAAATAACCCGGACTGACGTTGTTTTCAGCAGAATTGCCATGGTGTTATTTTTGTGCAGAAATAAAAGTTCTCGAATTGACCTAAAAATTTAAGGAATATATAAAAAATATTGGCGCAAGAATTAACTAGAGGGGGTCCACCCAGAGGCCACAAGCCTGGCGGCGCCCCCCTTGGGGCGCACCTAGAGGGCTTGTGGGCCCCCTGGACCTCCTCCGACCCTAACTCCAACTCTATATGACCCTATTCGGGGAGAAAAAAATCAGAGAGAGGGATTCATTGCATTTTACGATACGGAGCCGCTGCCGCCTCCTGTTCTTCATCGGGAGGGTTGATCTGGAGTCCATTCGGGGCACCGGAGAGGGGGGATTCATCACCATCATCATCACCAACCTTCCTCCACCAATTTCATGATGCTCACTGCCGTGCGTGAGTAATTCCATCATAGGCTTGCTGGACGGTGATGGGTTGGATGCGATTTATTATGTAATCGAGTTAGTTTTGTTAGGGTTTGATCCCTAGTATCCACTATGTTCTAAGATTGATGTTGCTATGACTTTGCTATGCTTAATGCTTGTCACTAGGGCCCAAGTGCCATGATTTCAGATCTAGACCTATTACATTTTCATGAATATATTTGTGTTCTTGATCCTATCTTGCAAGTTGTAGACACCTATTACGAATTATGATCCGCATACCCCAAGGTGACAATAATTGGGATTCTTTCCGGTGATTACCGTAGTTTGAGGAGTTCATGTATTCGCTAAGTGCTAATGCTTTGTTCTGGTTCTCTATTAAAAGGAGTCCTTAATATCCCTTAGTTTTCATTAGGATCCCGCTGCCACGGGAGGGTAGGACAAAAGATGTCATGCAAGTTCTTTTCCATCAGCACGTCTTACTATATACAGAATATATGCCTACATTATATTGATGAATTGGAGCTAGTTCTGTGTCACCCTAGGTTATGACTGCTACATGATGAATATCATCCAATACAATTATCATTGCCGATCCATTGCCTACGAGCTTTTCACATATTGATCTTTGCTAAGTTACTTTGCCGTTGCTGCTGTTACAATCACTACAAACTGCTACTGTTACTTTTTCCACTGTTACCGTTACTTCCACACTACTTCTCTACTAAATACTTTGCTGCAAATATTAAGTCTTTCCGATGTGGTTGAATTAACAATTCGGCTGCTAATACTCGTGAATATTCTTTGGCTCCCCTTGTGTCGAATCAATAAATTTGGGTTGAACAGTCTACCCTTGAAAACTGTTGCGATCCCCTATACTTGTGGGTTATTAGTGGTGCACGCAGGAGGACGACGAGGCGAGCACGGGGCGCGGACGAGTGTCATTCACGCACGGGGAGTGAGCTTGGCCACGGTGCGATGAGCGCAGGCGGGAGCACGGCTACGGCACGACAGCGTACGTCAACTACGGGCTAGAAATAAGGGGGGAGCAGAGGGGGCTGGCGAGAAGCTTACAGTGAGCCGGACGGGAAGGGCAGCGGGCTCGGGGGAGGTATGGTGGAGCGAGACGACGGCGAGTTCCAGCGATGCAGAGGATGAAGATGACTCAAACTCGATGATGCAGATGCGTTCGGCTTGGGCTCGTGGGCGAGGAAGGCGTAGCAGTCAACAACAAAGCTTGTGGGCATGGCAGTGCGGTGTAGGGAGGCCGGTGGCTACGTGGGCGGCGAGGCCAAGGCGACGACAGTGGTGGGCAAGCTCGGGGGGAAGAGAAGAAAGAGCGTGGGGGCGGCGTGAAGGGGTAGTAGGCGGTCTAGGGTTGGCAGGTGGCGTCACTAGCGACCATAGCCGCGCGAGACAACAGCAGATGGCCGGCACGTGGCCATCCTGGCCATGTGCGGCCGCACGACGTCCACGACGCCCTGTGAACAGAGGTGGAGGGAGACAGGGGCGCATGGTGGGCTGAGCTGCGCCGTGCCTTAGGCCAGAGGCCAGGTAGGCCCTTTCTCTTTTATGATTTTCTGCTTTTCCCTTTATATTTAAAATAGAGACAACTAGGGAAAGGTTTGGGCTACCAGAAGACTTTGAAAAAAAAGGTGGGACTAGGCCACTTAATTTCTTTGTAGTATTTGGCACTGCCACAAAAAGTTTGAGGGACAACTGAATCCATTTGGATTTTGCATAAATAAAAAAGCATTTTAAAATGCTGAAATGGCACTGTTTTAATTGCTATAGTCCATCTTGGCTTGGAGGTGATGTTGTTTTCCTTAACAATCATTTGTTATGGAATTTTGGCTAAATGATGAACTATTTTGCAGCAACTTTTGTACAACTTCATATTTCACTTGCAAATTGAATTTGAATTCAATGAAGGAGTTAGAAATGAGATATGATTTCACTATGATCATTCTTTTCAAAATAGAGTAGCTTAGCATTAATTTGAAGATCACTATAGCTCATTACACAGGGGTGTTATAGATTAGTGCACAATCGAGGCGGGGGCGTCACAACAGACATCTATCAAATTTTGTTCTATCAATAGATCGATGTATTGTTCTTCACAATATCAAAATTTGCATCCGTCCTACACAAAAGTGTAAGTATAAGCAAAGAGCTATCGAAAATGCGCCGAATCCGGGAGCACA